GTTAATGGTTTACTCGGTGAGGCTTGGCATGGGGTTGGAGCATCAGTAGATGATTAAACCACAGCAATGAAACATAACATAACCACAACAATGAGCAACCACTAAATCTTATCAGGAGTAAGATAATAGAAGAAGAATATGACACCGTTTTAACGCATTTTGCATAGTTTTCAACTTGTAAATATTCTATCAATATGATCACATATTGAATCTCGCCAGAAACGATTCAGGAAGATGATACTGACATGGAAGAGGAAGAGGTCAAGAAGTAGAGGAGTACGTCAGGGAGGAGGTCGAGGAGTACGTCAGAGAGGGAGCTAAGGGAGCACGTCAAAGGGGTACACAGAGACCACAAAGAGGACAAGAGAGATCTAGCGGCGTCTGGAAACTGATGATGATACCTCTATGGACTTCAGAAGATGATACTGACATGAGCATTTGTTTACAGATTGGATGATGAGCAGGCCTGTCTGTTGGTGATGGCGATGCTAGCCTGATCGCTAAAAAGTGAAGATGGGAAGAGGTCCAAGAAGTAGAGGAGTACTGGCAGAGAGGAGGTGGAGGAGAGTACGTTAGAGGGGTGGACAGAGAATACAAGAAAGACGCAGAGAGATTTGACATGGACATTTCTACAGATTGATGATCAGCCAGTCTCTTGTGGTTATGGCCATTCTAGCCCGATGCTGATAATAGTCAGATTGCTATAAATGGTGGTTGCCACGCCCGCCTGATTGCCATTGATGACAAGATCTCTGATGGTGGTGATAGTGTCACTAGCCGGATTGCCATTGATGACCCTTATTGGTGCATGATCATTTTCTGCTCGTTTGACAGTGCCGAGTCATACAGCATTGATATATCTGGCCTTATTGATATGTGGATGATGAGATGTCGCAGTCTCTTTGGTTCTGGTTGATAATGGGATGTCGGCAGCCTCCCCGGTTTCCGTTGATAATGGGACGTTAGGCCAGCCTCCCCGCGTTTCCGTTGATGATGGATGTCGGCAGTCTCCCCGGTTCCGCGTTGATGATGAGATGTCGGCAGCCTCCCCGGTTCCGTTGATGATGGGATGTTGGCAGTCTCTCCGGTTCCCGTTGATGATGGGATGTCGGCAGTCTCCCGGTTTCCGTTGTGATGAGATGTCGGCAGTCTCCCTGGTTCCCGTTGATGATTGGATGTTGCAGTCTGCTTCCGGTTATGATGGGATGTCGGCAGTCTCCCCGCGTTTCCGTGATTGTGCGGAGGTTGCGCAGGTCTCTTCCGTTACCCGTTCATGCATGGATGTTGGCCAGCCTCCCGTCTGGGTCCGGGAGGATGGGAGTGGCGCGCAGTGCTCCCCGTGTCGACCGGTCAGGATGGAGATGGGCAAGGCGCCCCGGTGTCCGGGTGAGGAGGGGAGGGTGCGGCCGCCGGGCCCGGGCAGGAGGGAGAGGGCGGCAGTCGCCGGGGCCCGGTGGAGGGAAGGGAGCGGCAGGCTCCCGGGCCCGGGGAGGAGGGGAGGGCGGCACGCGCCCCCGGGGCCGGGGATGAGGAGAGGGCGGCAGCGCGCCCGGGGCCGGGGAGGAGGGATGGCGGCAGGCGCCCGGGGGCCGGGGGGAGGGAGGGCGGCACGCGCCCCCGCGGCCGGGGAGGAGGGGAGGTGGGCAGCCGCCCCGGTGCCCGGGGAGTGATGGGAGGCGGCAGGCGCGCCGGCCCGGGGAGAGAGGGGAGGGCGCAGGGCCCGGGTCCCGGGGGAGCGGAGGGCGGCACGCGCCCCGCGGCCGGGAGGAGGAGATGGCGGCAGGGCCCGGGTCCGGGGAGGAGGGGATGGCGGCAGGCGCCCCGGGCCCGGGGAGGAGTGATGAGGGCCGGAGGGCGCCCCGGGGGCCGGGGAGGAGGGAGGGCGGCAGGCGCCCGGGGGCCGGAGGAGGGAGGGGCAGCCGCCCGGGGGCGGGGAGAGGGGAGGGCGGCCAGCGCGCCCAGGGGCCGGTGAGGAGGGGAGGGCGGCAGGGTCCCCCCGCGGGCCCGGGAGGATGGAGGGCTGCAGCCGCCCCGGGTGTCCGTGGATGAGGGGAGGGTAGGCAGGCGCGCCGCGGGCCCGGGGAGGAGGGGAGGGCGCAGGCGCCCCGCGGGGACCGGGAGGAGGGGAGGGCGGCAGGCGCCCGGGGCCGGGGCAGGCAGGGTGGACCCAGGGGGAGGGTACCCAGGCGGGCGGGGAGGCAGGGGCCCCAAGGGGGCCGCGGGCGCGGCAGGGGACCTGCCGGGCGAAGAGAGGCCCACCGCGGGCCGGGGGGCGGCCAGAGAGCGGCGGGGCCCCAGGAGGAGCCGCCACGTCGAGAGCCAAAGGGGGGAAGCCCAGCCGCGAACGCGGAGGAGACGCGACGCGGGTGGGGGCGCGCGCGGGGCGGCCGCCGAGAAAAACCGCGCCACAAGCGGAGGGGCGCGAAGGCGTCCGACGCGAGAACGCGACCGCCTGGGGAGCGGGAGCGGGAACAAGAGTGAAGGCAGGCAGCAGGAAAACAGCGGCAGGGCAGGGAGATAGGCTGGGACGCGACGCGGGGCGACGGGCGGGTGGCGCGAGCGCACAGGACAAGACACAACGATGTACCGGGAACGGGAAACACGGCGGGATCAGAGGGATCGAGGCCACAGGCGGCCCACGGATGGGGGGGGAGGGGGGGTACCACAAAAGAGAGGAGGCGGAGAGCAAACGACTGGCGAGAGGAGGCGTGAGCAAGACGGGGGGCAAAAACCAGGGGGCGGGAAGAGGAAGCGCGCGGCGCGAAGGACAAGGAGGAGGAAGGGCCGGAGGTCAGGGAACCGGGGGGGAGTCAGACAAGGAGTCCAAAAAGGGAAGGGGCGCGGGGAAGGAGACAAAGGAAAAGAGCCAGGGGAGCGGGACATGGGGACGTGGGGGGAGGGAGGACAGGGCAGGGAGGAAAGCAAGGGCGAGTGCAGTAGCGGCCGGGAACTTGGGGTGAGGAGCGCAATGCGGAGGGGGGGAGAGGAAACCACATCACAAGGAGCGGGGAACGAAGTCGTGGCGACGGGCGACACATAAGAGGAGGGGGAAGACGAGGAGGAGCAAGGGAGACGCAGCAGAAAAGGCAGCCAGCTGAGCAGGGACGGCGAGGGTGACAGGGACAAAGGGGGAGAGAGCGGGGCGACGGGAGGCAGGTACGTACAAGCAGGGCGAAGGGGGGAGGAAGGGGGCGCACCAGCAAAAACAGGGCGGCGGGGGCGCCGACGGGGTCAGACGCGAAAGCCCCCAGACGGGCGGGGAGGGGGGGGCGGGGGCAAAGGGTGGAGCAGTCCAAGGGGGAAGAGAGAGACAGAAAAAGGGAACGAGAGAATAAGCAGAAGAGAGCAGAAGCATGATACCATAGAGGAGAAGGAGGAGAAGTGAGGGAGCGAGCAACAAAGGCGAACAGAGAGAGGGGGACCAGGGGGGGCGAGGCAAGACGCGAGGCGAGGAAAGAGAGAGAAAGAGGAGGAGCGGACAACGGGAAAAGGCGGAAACCAGGGGCAGGAGGGGCGAAGGAAGAACCGGGGCCCGGGGGATGAGAGAGGCGGGGGCAGGAGGATGGAGGCAGCGGGCGACCGTGGGGCAGAGAAAACAACGAGGGCCCGACGAGGCCCGACGCGGCGGAAGAAGGGCGGGGGAAAAAAGCGGGAGGGGCGCGAAAACGGAGCGAGGAGCAGGCCGGGACGGACGGGTCGCGCGAAGGGGGAGGTAACGGCGGTAACCGCGCGGGTGCGGCAAGGAGGGACAAAGGGAAGGAAGGACGGCGGGGAGGGAGGGCCAGGAGGGAGGACCCCCAGCGGGCCGCACCGCACGCCACCGCACGGAGAGGAGAGGAAACGCGGGGAGTCTGATGACGGGAGGCAGCTCCACGAGGGCGGACACAGCGGCGACCGGAAGCAAACACACGGCGCCACAGGGGGCGGCCGTACACGCCGCCCACACGAGAGCGAGGCACAGGTAACGGACGAAGCGGGCCGCAAGAGGAGGGCACGTCAGAGGATGGGCAGAGGGGCGGAGGGGGCGTCGGGCGGGAGACCGGGCGCACCAAGGCGGGCGGCGACCGCACGGGGAGACAAGACCAGCACAGTGCAACAGAGAGGGACAGACCCCACCGGACACAGAGGACTGGACGCCGAGACCGACCAGCGCCGGGCAGACAGGCGGCAGCGGGCATAGGGGAACAGCGGGGGAGGACGCGACGCGGAGGGGGGAACTGCCGGTACGGCGCAGAAAGAGAGGCAGCGATCGGGCCCGAAAGGAACGGCGCAAGTCTGGGCCGGCGCGGCGGGGGCGCGGGGAGAGGGGGACGGGTGCAGGGGCAGCCCATCCCGGGGGGGGGAGGAGGGGGTAGGGAGGCGGGGACAAGGCCCAGGCGGGGGGAGGCCAGAGGGCCTGGGGCAGACGAAGACAAGGGATAGGAAGGGAGGAGACCCCGGGGGAGGGGAACCGCCGCCGCGCCAAGAACGGAGAGGCAGCGCTGGGCCAGCAGCGAAAGGTCAAGGAGGCACGGCCAAAGAGGAGGGGGCAAAACGGGCGGCACGGGCGAAAAAGAAGGGGGCCAAAAGGGGGGCGGACCGGCAAACAGAACCAGGGACCAACAGGCACAGATGAGAGCCGACGGGCTAAGAAAACATTGTTCTCCAATTGACTTTTCCAAAGAAGCAGCTTGGCTTCAAACGACTTGATATCACCAAAGAGATTGTGAACGAGTTTGTCCTTTCCCTGCATAGACACATTCAACTGATTCAACTTTTCAGTAATGTCGACCAAGAAGGCAAAGTCGCAGAGCCACTGTTCGTCGGAGAATTCCAGTAGAGGCCTTCCTTTCGACTCCATGAACTGTGCAATTTCTTCTCTCAGCTCCCACACCCGTTTCAGAGTGCGCCCTCTACTCAGCCATCTCACTTGAGAAAAGTACAGAACGTCTTTGTAATTCGCAGCCAATTCCTCCAGAAGTTCTTTGAATTGGCGATGATTCACTGCCCGAGCACGGATGAAATTCACAGTTGATATTATTTTAGCCATGATTTCCTGGAAACCAATGACCTTCGTGCACAAAGATTCTTGGTGTATGATACAGTGGCACCATATCAACGTTTGGGGAATGTTTCTGGTTTGGAGCTCTTTCTTTAACATGCCTTGAAATCCTTTCTGCTCCCCGACCATTGCAGGTGCACCATCTGTGGCAATTCCAACGAGTTTTTCATAATTCAGATTCGCTTTCTTCATTGCTGAATCACACTCCTGAAAAACGTCCTTTCCAGTACAAGTGTCTTTCATGGGGCACAGAGCAAGAAGTTCCTCAGTTATATTGAACTCATCATCAACACCTCGCACAAAAATGGCCAGCTGAGCAGTATCTGAAATGTCCGTGCTCTCCTAGGCTTTATGACTCAACATGCTTGTCAATACGATTAACTGGCTGTTAAGTAACTCTGTACTGCTTTACAGGTTGTACAGTAGTACTGTTATTTTTTTCCGGTAAATTTGTAAAAATTAACGAAAGTCGTGGTTTCATCACATTCTCCAAAACCTTTCGCGGGCCGGATTGAACCACTCCGCGGGCCGGATCCGGCCCGCGGTCCGGACTTTCCCGGGCACTGGTCTATACAATCAATTAGAATTCATCAAAATGACAAAAAAAGAAAATTGGGAGTTGAATAAAAGTATTTTGAGAAATGTCAACATCAACTACTACTATTAGACTAACAATACTTAGCTCTAGTAACTAAAGCTCGTGTACTGCTGCCGCTGGCCGCAGCGGCAGCCGTACGCGGGCTATAGTTACTAGAGCTAAACGCTACTACACTTCAAGTACGTGCTCACTGCTCACTTTCCAATCTGTCAACCCTGAGTTCTAATTCTCTCAATTCCATTTGTTGACGTTTCTCAAAATACTTTAATTCAATTTCTAATTTTCTTTTTCTCATTTTCATGAACTCTACTTGAACATTAACTAGATCCTGCTGTGTAAAACGCCTTTTGCTGTCCATGCTTCTTGCTGCTGGTGTAGCTGGTGGGTGTATTTCGACTGGCAACTCATAATCTAGATAATCTTCCCCCTCTCCATCATACATTAAGTAGTTGCCATATCTTCTCCTTTTGCATCTGAAGCATAGAGTTTTTATTGATAAAGTCGGGAAGACAAATTCTATTTTTAGTTCGACTGTTTCACATCATAGGACTTGAAAGGTAACTTCGAAGGTAACTTGTCGCTAGATAGGCATGTGCCTCAGCTGTTTCATGAGATTTTTGTCACATGTTGTCTGGCATTTTATAAACCTCAATGACATAGAGACAATTATTTATCCATTTATTCAATAGTATATATAATGTATATACTATATATGTATTAATGTTATTGATGTTATTGAGTTATTGTTATTGCTATTGATGTTATTGACTCACTGTAATTATTATTGAGTTGTGATTTACCCATTAGCATACAATATTACAGTATTACTATTCTAATGATTCAGTCACCTTCCTAATAAAGCTTGGATAGCAGATAGATTTTTCGACGTTCAATTGCGTGCGCACAATTAAAAAATTTTGTTCATACGAAGTATTCAATTGCAATTTTATGTGGTATAACATTTATTCTTAAGTGCTTTTGGACTGGGTTAGTAAGTAAAATATCCTATGTCAAGTAGAACTATATTTAGCTACATTTTTTCTGAATTCGGTGTCTATAGTATGCTATTTAATATGCTACATAATTTTCTGTGTGGCATCTTCAAGATATTAACTTCAATTCAACCTATTAGCAAAAACAAATTAAATTGGGCTTATAACCGCACTCACTGAGTGTGATGTAACCACACTAAGTATAATGATTAATGTAACTTAAATTTAATTACTGCACACTGAGAATTACTGTTCTATAATGTAACCGCATACATTAACCCGTAGTATGAGCGCTGCTGTCTGGGTAAGACTAAGACCGAGTAAGCCTAAGAGAACAGAGTAAAAGTAGAGTTAGTAGAGTAAGAGTAGAGTTAGAGTAAGACTAGGAGTAAGAATAACAATAACAGTAACAGTAACAGTAACAGTAACAGTAACAGTAACAGTAACAGTAACAGTAACAGTAACAGTAACAGTAACAGTAACAGCAACAGCAACAGCAACAGTAACAGTAACAGTAACAGTAACAGTAACTAAAGAGTAAGAGTAACAGTGACAGTACTGGTATTACACCTACGGCTATACTCTACAACAAAACTCATAATGTCTAGGCCTACAGCTATACAATATAACTCTGCATAGGCTAGAGAAGCCTTGATCTTTAGGAATAAGATCCTATCTTATGTTATCGTGATGTTATTGTGGATACAGTAATTACAACGTACTTTATTCCTGCTTCTGAATGTTGCTGCTGCGCTGCGATGCGTTTAGACTGGTACCCGCTCCCACCTCGTTTATTCGATGGGGGTAACGATTACTCGATCGAGTAAACGAGGTGGGAGCGGGTATTATAGTCTACGATGCGTTTCTATGCATTGACCTTTGACATTATACCCATCATGCGTTGCAATGTTGACAGACGATATAAACATTGCAGAAACGGCGGTGATGCCATTCAATACCTAGCAAAGGCTAAACTAGCTGAAATAGGCTGGCCATAAATCTATGATGACTTAGTTTGTTCGTTCTTGTGATGTATTCACATAGATTTATTGTGAAATAAAACCAAGCATAAGAAACAAAACGGACAATGCGGTCGCATCATTACTCTGGTCCTTCTCCGGGTTCCACAACTGGCGCCATCTAGTATGGGCAATATTGATATAATAAAACAATACATTACATCCCCTTCCTGGTGGATTTTAACTGAATCAGCTTCCTTATAGTCACTCACTGGATAACCTTTGATATTGGTTTCACAAAAAATTACACGAATAATTAACGCAATAACTATTAATCAACTTTGGACTATTTGCTCAAACACAAACTACTGTCTTAGAGCCTGATGCTCATACAGATTAACACTGACGGTTAACTCATCCCCTACAATCATAAACTGGAAATTATATTTCACAAATTGCTGTAAGCTGTCTGCTTTCACAACATTCTCATCCACTACAGTCAAACTCTAAAGATCAAGTCTCTCTGGAGCCTTTCTCATCCGGGTTGATTGCCTTAGGGGAATAGGAGGTGATGACCTATCTGTATCAAAAGGTGACGTCGGAGGGTTCACAGTCAACTTCAATGGGGTGTCTATGTGCCACTATGTGCCGTCTATGTGTCAATGTTATCAGCTCGTGGTAACTGATTAGGCATTAAATGGGACTGCGGAACAGCCCGATCAACACCAAAGCGATCATACAACTCCTCGTCCCTTGTGATCTCACAGTCTCTCTCCATGCCTACTCCCATATCACTCGGGATTTTCTTAAAGAATGAAGAGTTTCTAGTCACAGAATGCTGCCCATCTGATGCAGATATCATACTACCCTTCTTCTGAGTAATGGTTAGTGGTGTGATTTGATATGGGCGCAGGTACTTCAGATGATGGTGTTGGGCGTGTTCAATGTCGAATTCACTGACTTTCTTCGGGTATGGTGAAGGTAACGCTTACCCATAAAGATATGTCCAAAGAAAACATGCTTGTAGCACGAACTTGACCTTCAACAGGTTTACACGCGAGTTGCCTATCGTCGGGCGCTGTAAACCATTCGAAGACGCGGTCGTGTTCTTAACAGTTCTTCCCCAAATAGATGGGTATCACTGATTATCTTGCACTGTTGCACTGATGACGTACTGACATCTTCTGAAAAGATTTTGACTGAGCAATGACATAAACCAAAGTTCAAAGTTTATAACGCCATAATCGATGAGATGAGAAGTGGTGAGATGGACGTGACAGTTGAGGTATATGACTCTGGTGTGTAGCCTGCTGAGGTACTTACTTAAACACTTTGCAGCCATTCAGGTAAATACAATGTCTCAATGGGTACGTTGACTGGGACGGGTTACGACTTATTGCGTTGACCCGTCACTGCTCGCATGTGGACGATGCGATAATCTGTACCTGTGGCTTTGCGACGACAATAATAGGTAATAGTCAAGGTGTTGGCCTTCGCTCGTTCTATTAGTGTTCGCCCTTTACAGTTCTTCCTAGTTTCTGTTCGACTTTGTCTTTGCTGACGTTGAAGGGTTCGTCGATAGTGTTGTGCGATGGTTTAGATCGATTCAATCGACAACACACTTAGACTGGATCACATTTGCATGTTCCCATCCAGGCGGGTCACTGTGGGGAATTGCATCATAAATGTCGGTGTCAGATGCGATTTTTGGTCAGACACACTGTTTGACTAGATGTGATCGAGGGTTTAATTTGAGATGCTTTACCAAACTCAAAAGTGATGCTTGGTCTATTCGACACAAGAATGTATCTATACTGACATTCGGGATGCGCGATCAGTTTGGAATTTCCCAGGTTAGATTGAAAGTGGTTCTGGTGATATGTATGGGTACACTCTCGAAAGTTGGTGTGTAGTTCGGCTTAACTATTTTGGTTCTTTACTGCGAGATAATCTGTTGCGTTTCAAACATTACACGATGCCGAATCAGTATTCTCGCACATGAGGTGTGGCGCTATGATAACACTGAACAGTGGTTTTTCACGGACCAGTCTATGTTGGTAGTGTCAGTAAGAGAATGTGTACCGTGCTCATCATGTTATTATGACACTGAATCACTGATGCCTGGAATTTAGATCGCTGGTCTTTTATTTCAGATGCGTTTCCCTATCTCCTGCACGCGCTCGGTGTCTGATTTGGTCTGTCTCGCTCGCTGAATGATTCGTCCTGTGATTGCAGATTGTGCAGCTGGCGTTTTGCTCGACACTCCTTGCAAATGATGGATGATTTTCCTCACTGTATGACAAGTTTTCTCCTTCGGAGGACCTGTTTTTGATGTGGGTACAAAGCCGCGCAAGCCACAGTGTGGTGGTTTCGCTGTTTGTCAGGCTTAATTGAATCTGCGTGATAATTAGGCATAGGCGATGTACTTGTTTTCTGGATGACGGTGGGTTGCTGTCATGGCAGGTGAGTCTCTCGCATTCATTCTTGAAAATGTTCTTGACAGTTTCATCGCGGAGTCGTTTTTAAGTTTGCTTAATGGTTAGCCTCATGTTCGATTGCCTTTTGCTTAGGCGGCGAGCTTGAGTGCCTTGTAAATTGGTCAGTCTGATCTCGACAGTTGTTGTCTTGACCACACTTCTTAGCAGGATCTGCCTGCCGGTATGAAATTCTGTCATGGATTCATAGTTTATTTAATTCTTTTTTTTTCTTTTTTATTATTATTCTGTGTATTCTTTGAGAAAGATTATACATGTCGTGGTTTGCTACTACTTTAGAGGGGTCGATGTAGTCGGC